AAATACAATAAAATACACAAGGTTACATTTATTACATAAAATACAGACATAGTTACATAGTTACATAGTTACATATTTACATAGCTGAAAAGAGACTTGCGTCCATCAAGTTCAGCCTACCTCACATTTGTTTTTTGCTGTTGATCCAAAAGAAGGCAAAAACCCAGTTTGAAGCACAATTTTGCAACAAGCTAGGAAAAAAAATTCCTTCTTGACCCCAGAATGGCAGTCAGATTTATCCTTGGATCAAGCAGTTATTACCCTACATTGAAAGATTATATCCTTGAATATTCTGTTTTTGCAAGTATGCATCTAGTAGCTGTTTGAACATCTGGACTCTGATAAAACCACTTCTTCAGGCAGAGAATTCCACATCCTGATTGTTCTTACAGTAAAAAAACCTTTCCTTTGCCTTAGACGAAATCTTCTTTCTTCCAGTCTAAACGCATGGCCTCGTGTCCTATGTAAAGTCCGGTTTGTGAATAGATTTCCACACAATGGTTTGTATTGGCCCCGAATATATTTGTATAATGTTATCATATCCCCTCTCAGGCGACGTTTTTCTAAACTAAATAGGTTTAAATTTGTTAACCTTTCTTCATAGCCGATATGTTCCATTCCTTTTATTAGTTTTGTAGCCCGCCTCTGCACTTTTTCTAGTGCCATAATATCCTTCTTTAGAACCGGTGCCCAAAATTGCACAGCATATTCAATATGGGGTCTTACCAGTGATTTATAAAGAGGCAAAATGATATTTTTGTCCCGAGAATGAATGCCCTTTTTCATGCATGACAATACCTTACTGGCCTTGGCCACTGCTGATTGACATTGCACATTGTTGCATAGTTTGTTGTCTATAACAATTCCCAAGTCCTTTTCATGTGTTGTTATCCCTAATTCGCTTCCATTAAGGGTATACGTTGCTTGTGTATTCTTTACGCCGAAGTGCATAACTTTGCATTTTTCAACATTAAATTTCATCTGCCATTTGAGTGCCCAGTCTCTATCTAAATCCCTCTGCAGCAAAGTAATATCTTGCTCACATTGTATTGTTTTACAAAGTTTGGTGTCATCTGCAAACACTGAAACATGGCTTTCAATGCGGTCTTCAAGATCATTTATAAACATGTTAAATAGAAGGGGTCCCAGAACAGACCCCTGAGGGACACCACTTGCCACCTCTGTCCAGCTTGAAAATTTACCATTAATGACAACTCTTTGTACTCTGTTTTTAAGCCAATGTTCTACCCAAGAACAAGCATTTTCATCTAGACCGATTTCCTTGAGTTTGAACACTAATCTATTGTGTGGAACTTTATCAAATGCCTTGGCAAAATCCAAATAGATCACATCCACGGCAACACCCTGATCTATACTTCTACTTACTTCTTCGTAGAACGCAATCAAGTTAGTTTGACATGACCTGTGCTTCATAAAACCATGCTGATTTTTGCTGATAACCATGTTCTTCTCAAGGAATTCTTGAATATTATCCCTTAATAACCTTTCAAATATTTTACCAGCCACAGAAGTTAAGCTCACAGGTCTATAATTTCCAGGCAAGGATTTTGAACCCTTTTTTGAATATAGGAACCACATCTGCCTTCCTCCAATCCTCCGGAACACTTCCTGAAAGAAAAGAATCTTGAAAGATTAAAAACAGAGGTTCACTTATTTCTGCACTTAGTTCCTTAAGTACACGTGGATAAATACCGTCAGGCCCTGTAGCTTTGTTTATATTAACTTTCTTTAGTTGCTGCAGCACCTTGTCTTGAGTTAACCAATGCAACATATGCGACATGCAACATATCCCCAGATAACTTAGGTCTGAGCGCACATTATTACTGAATGGCGCTCAGACCACACACAGTTCAATTGCCATGGAGCCAAAGTTTTTTATTACATGAATAGGCTCCATGACATAGCTATCTGGGTTAAATGAGTTCATTCAGTAAATCTGAGAATCTACCGAACACCAGGGCAGAAATACATGAATAGACCTTTCTGCATAGGAAAATAAAGCATTTAAATGCTGGTCCATAGTCAAAAGGCAGCAGGCAGGCAACCAGGCTCCTCCAATGCACAGTGGCGAGATTGGTCTCGTCACACTCACCGACCTGAAGAAACTGCCAGACCATAGCAACGCTCGGTGATAACCGAATGGACTGGAAGTACAGGTTTTATAGTTATATTTAATTACTTGACCCCCTCATACTCTATTCTATAATTGTCGGTTAAAAGACCCATGACCCAGGCCACGATAGGGTGAGATAACACCCGGACTCTCTATCCTTGAACCTTTGCATTGTTGTAGATCATATACGTTGTAGATCTCGACATTTTGCCCCAAGTGGGCCACCCCCAATGCTCCTACGTAACCTTAACTGTCCGTTGCTTTACGCAACCCAATGCCACCACATGGTGACACACAGAGTATTATATATAGTTATTGCCTTGTTGCTACCCCTCTCCCTTGTGAGTATATCCATGAATTGCACCATACCTGACTTACAACAAAACCTTGTGTCTTTAACATCTAGGAGTACAGAGCACCTTAAACTACCTTATGGGGATTAAAATTATGTCACTAAACACAAAAGGGCTTAACTCCCCGAACAAACGCAGGTTGCCCATACAGGAGGCTAGAAAATGTGGCTCTCTAGTGGCGTTCTTCCAGGAGACACACTTTAGGTGGAAAGATAGGCCTAAATTTACCTCCAAATGGTTCCCCCACGACTTCCACACCTGCTATACAGCCAAACAACGGGGTGTCTCCATCTTAATTAATAAGATGTAGTGTTTTCTCTAGTCCGCAAGATAAATGATAGAAAAGGGCGATACCTAATATTGCAATGTCTCCTTAATAATACTCCATACACACTGGTCAACATTTACAATACTAATGAGAACCAACATGAATTCTTAACCTCGACTCTGGCACTACTTGACATGTATAAATATGGGGAGGTAATTATTGGAGGTGACACAAACTTCTTATTAGATGGCGAGTCTGACTCGTCCACTGCTACAGGGCTTTCACGAGGCACCATGCAGTAAAGAATGACTCTCGCAGCCAAAATCTGCACCACGCTAGCCTCCCACCACTTGGTGGACCCATGGCACACCCTCCATCCCACAGAGGTGGATTACACATGTCATACAGTGGCACACAATAGCTACTCCCGAATAGACAGATTCCTCATTCCTGTCACATCAATGCCTAACATAGAAGAAGCTACTATTGGAACAATGTCATGGTCTGACCATGCACCTATCACCCTTAAGGAAGCATTCCCCAACAAAGGGACAGGCACATGGAGACTTAACAAGTCCTTTCTGACAGATCCCTCCATCGTCGCACAGATCACTACAAACCTACAGCATTATTTCACTGAAAATACGATAAATGACTCCCCTATAGAACAAATCCGGCTAGCAAATAAAGCGGTCATACGGGGTAGTCTCATAAAACATGCCAGTCGAGCCAAAAAACTAAGGATGGCAAAATATGACTCGCTAGTAGCGGAAATCTCTACACTAACACACTACAACAAGCGAGAGCCAAGCAAGACCACTTACAAAAAATGATTAGTCCTCCAAAGCCAATTGAAAAACATAGAGTTAGCCAAAACAACGTATCTCTTATGCAAAACACAACATCTTTACCAATGGCAACAGATCAGGTGCCAAGTTGGCATCACAATTAAAGGAGAGGAGTGTCGCCTCCAGGATTGCCTTCCTAATAGATAATAAGGGGAAGAAGACATTGAACCCACAAAGTATTGTAGCTTTGTTTGCGAAATATTACAGTGAGTTGTACAATCTCAAAAATGACCCCGACATGTTCTTACCTACCCATGATGACAATGACAAATTTTTAACAGACCTCGATTTACTGAAACGAAAGGACGGAGACCTAGACCTTCTACAACAACCGTTCTCCTTAGACGAGCTCACAGCTGTAGTATCACAACTCCCATCCCACGGGTGCATTGCCAGATGAGATGCTGTTGGCCCATATATCCACCCTCCCTAAGCCTGGCAAACCCCCAACCCAATGCAAAAATTTCAGGCCTATCTCCCTTCTTAATGGAGATGCCAAAATTTATTCTAAACTCATCAGCAACCGAATGGCCCCTCTCCTCCACAAATTGGTACACAATGACCAATCGGGGTTCATAAAAGACCATTCTGAACATGTTGTCAACACTTGAAACCGGCAGTTCGAAGGACCTCTTCCTCACACTTGATGTGGAGAAGGCCTTCAACCGCTTAAACTGGGCGTATATGGCCAAGACTCTACACAAATTTTACTTCCCTGTGTCTACCATAAAAAGTATCATGGTGATATACCACAATCCAGTGGCCAGAGTGTCCCATGGAGGCTTCCTGTCAAACCCCTTCTCCATCATAAACGGCACCCGCCAAGGTTGCCCCCTATTCCCCCTTCTGTATATACTGGCCCTGGAACCCCTAGCTTGTAAAATCAGACTACACCCTAACATGGATTCCTATATGAGGCAAGATGTACAGCCTAGCCCTATTCACTGGTGACATCTTCGTAGCACTGACGGACCCTACCCCATATGCTAAACCTCATACAACAATTCGGAAGAGTCTCATATTATAAACTAAATCAAGACAAAACCCAGGCCTTACCCATCAACTTACCAAAAAACCTAACAGACTCCCTCCGTACCACATACAAATTTGACTGAAGAACTACCTCCATCACATATTTAGGGATAAAGGTTGCACCTTCCACTTCAGCCACTCTAACACTAAATTATACACCACTGCTGACGCTCTGCAAAACAGAAATGAACAAATGGAAACATACAATGATCTCCTGGTTAGGGAAAATCAAGGCCTACAAGATGATGATCCTGCCCCGTATCCTTTACGTCTTTAGGATGCTTCCCCTCAGAGTTCCCAACCAATACTGCAAAACATTACAAAAATTGTGTAGTGCATTTATCTGGGGGGCAAGAAACCTAGAGTGTCTATGGCACTCCTACAGACCGCCACCCGCTCTGGTGGTGTCGGCCTCCCAAATATCAGACAGTACTACAGGGCAGCAATTCTGTCCTCAGGTGTTCTTCTACATGCTCCACCTAACACAACTCAATGGGCGGACATGGAAAGGGCACAATTCTGTAATCAATCCCTACTTGAGCACCTATGGACGCCCAAGCAAATAAGACCGAGGCGACAAGCTCTCCTCCCAACCACCCAACTTACAATAGCAATGTGGGACGAATTCATGGGAGCAAAGGGTTACAACAACTCCTTCCACCCTAAATCACCCATCTCGACTCTCAGAGCAGTAGTACCAGATATCCCACTCCAAGACTGGCACTCCTTGACCCAGTTGAAAGATAAAGTAGAGCTTTTTCGCACATATGAAAGAATGGCAATTACATCCTCGAAAAAAATGCAAGAATTTGATATCACCTGGGGAAAATGCGAGAAGGAGTTTGGAGGGATAAAAAAGGGCACAACCACTGGAACACCTTGCCAAAAGCACTGAATAGGAGCATACCTTGAGTTACCCCTTCTCCCCCACCATAAAACTGACCTTAGGTTAAGATACCAACCAAACAACCACAGGTATTACTCATGCACCTATCCCTTCCCCCATCCCTCTCAACTCCCCTATAGTCCCCCCCCTTCCTTTTTCTGCCCCCCTTCCAGGTTCTTGAACCCCCAAAACAGGTACCTAACTTCTACACTCTCGAGAAGACAAGAGGAGCAATAAGACAACTAATGCTTTATCTCGCTATTGGTAGTTTATTGTTAAGGTAATGATGAAACAAATGTTCAACACATATCTGTATTATGCTATTAAATAACCATTAATGTTACGACGAAAGTGACATATGTTTAACTAACCCTCCTACCTTCTCTTTTGTACCCCAAGCCATCTTGATTAAAACAATAAAACATAAATTTGAAAAAAAAAAAGACAGTAGCGAGATAGGGTGGTAGTTGGAGGGGGAGTTAGGGTCAAGGTTGGGCTTTTTTAAAATCAGGGTTACAATTGCATGTTTTAGTGAGAGGCAAAGCAAGAGAAGGAGACAGAATACAGATGAGATTTGAGGGAATAGAATCAAGGGAGCAGGTGGTGGGGCGGGAGGATTGGAGCAGATCAGAAACCTCTTCCGCTGTAGCGGATGCAAATGAACATAGAACAGCAGAGGGAGCGAGGTTGGGGGAAATATTGTAAGGAGAAGGAGAGATCTCTTCCATGATTGTAGAGATCTTGTCAGTGAAGTAAGTTGCAAAGTTTGTGGTGGTTAAGTTGATAGGAGGAGGAGCAACAGGGCGAAGAAGAGAGTTAAAAGTGTGAAATAGTTGTTTGGGTTGGTGGGAGAGTGTGGATATGATGGTATTAAAGTAATTTAATTTTGCAGAGGAAAGAGCCAAGCTGTAAGAATGCAACATAAATTTATAGTGGAAAAAGTCAGATGCACAGTGAGACTTTCTCCAGCATCGTTCAGCAGTTCTGGAGCATTTTTGGAGGTATCGAGTCAGCTTGGTGTGCGCTTGCTGCATTTAAGCATAGGAGGTGCCATGATGTCTAGTTGAGAGAAAATGGTGGAAATGTAGAAGGAGATTGCAGAGCTAGGGCAGCTGAGGTTTGAGATAGGTAAAAGGAGAGTTTGGAGGATAGTGGAGAAGTGATCTAGGTCAAGACAATGGGATTTTCTGTGATATTGATGTACCGCGGGTGGTGTCAGTTGGGTCCTGGGTATGCTAATGTCAAAAGTCAGCAGATGGTGGTCAGATAGAAGAAAAGGAATATTGGAAAGATTAGAGGCGGTACAGAGGTTGGTGAAGGCGAGATCAAGAGTGTTTCCCGCTGTATGGGTGGCTGAATTGGACCATTGTGTGAGGCAAAAGGAAGAGGCTACAGAGAGCAGATGAGATGCACCAGTGCGGTTGGGGTTGTTAATTGGGATATGGAATCAATGGAATATCAGAGATGAACTTTACCTATACGGATCTATGTACAGAGACTATGTGAAAAATATCAGCCAAATTTTTGTTACAAATAAGTTACAATATTATATTATACAGGGTGACTCCACAAGTTAAATTCACATTTTGGCTGGGAAGTCCAGCTAGTAGGAAGCCCAGAATCTCCTTGAACATCAGAACATGCCAGAAAAAGCGGGATTTCTTGTTCATTTCCTTTATTGTTCTGTTATCAAGTGAAATATTGCATTAATAACTGAGTGTCTGGGATTTCAGGTCTTGTTCCAGTCTGCTGTGTGGAAGTTATGCCTTTGACAAGAGACCTTGCACTGGTAATTAAAACTTGCCCTGTATCAATATTCCATGGAGAATATGAGCCATAGAGAGTACATTTTATTGCAGAAAATAAATTATAATGTTCCTCCTCACATCTTATAGTAGAGGAATCCTTGGGAAATTCTGACCCTTATCCCTTAGAACAAGAACATGCCATCCCTGACAAACATTAAAAGGATTACCAAACATGAGGTTCACAAGGGATAACATAGCAGAATACTGAATATAACAAATAGTATATTCTCTCAATTAAATAGATTAAGCTTTTGGAAAATTCACACAAATCTAAAGGAATTTCTAAACCAACACCAGTGCACTAAGCTTGAAATCCATCTAATAATTATAAATGGGTAAAGTAGTAGTAAATTGTGCAGAGAAGAATATTGCAGAAATTAAAAATGATTACTAAAGTTGTAACCTGGGGATACAAACAGCTAGTTTTCACAACTTTTAAATCAAAAAGTCCATTTTTATTTCACAAAATAAAGCATACCAATTACAGACAGGTAATTGCTTCAGAGAGGTAACTGCTCATGGGAGCAATAAAAAGTCCAAGCTGTACACCTGCAATCAGATCTACTAAGCTTTGCACCTGTGATTATCAATATACTAAAGTTGCAAACACTCTCAACAAGCCTTAATTGCCTTGATTAATGAGGAAATGGTTCTGATAGCAATGTCTCTCATATATATGCATAGGTGTGCACACTAAAAGCACTATAAACTGGTATTTAACATGTTGGAAATCAGGTCTTCTTCTCTCCAGTGGATGGGGTACCCAGACGGCTTCAGTAACACATGAAGTCCATCTAAAGTGGTTAATTGCTTTTCAGTTGGGCAGACTAGATGGGCCGAATGGTTCTTATCTGCCGTCACATTCTATGTTTCTATGTTTCTAATTTGGGATATGTCTACTGAAAAGTGATTTTTATTTATTTTGTATTTGGGCAGTGGAGTTTGCCTTTAAGCTCAAAATGGCACATTCTAAGTGCTGAAAACAGGGCATGCCTAATTGTGCTAAATGGCAAACCCAGCTCTCTCCGTTAGGGACTTGAACATAGAGCAAAATACAAACTTTCTAAGTTATCACCATAGCAACCACAACTCAGCTGGGTGATATATGAAGTCACATGCATGCTTCACTGTGATCATGTTAAGGGGATAGAGGAGGTAGTTGGATTTAGACATAAAGCTGGAAACTACCTAAAAATTTTTTAGGTAGTTTGGTTAAGCAATTCATATTTATAGGTCAATATTGACTTAGGTAAACACATATTCTTTCTTTTTATTGATTGTTTATATGATTTGATATGTGCTTTCTTGTTTAAATGTAATAACATACACATAATAATATAATAATAATTTGTGATTTTTTTTATAGCGCTTTTCTCCCTGTGAGACTCAGAGCACTTTACAAATATACAAACATAAAGACATTAAAGTTAGGAGTGGTCAGATGAGTGAACCGAATGCCTGATGGAAGAGGTGGGTCTTGTTACTATTTTGATATTTGTGATATATTCATTTTTGTATATGACATGTTTTTGTATATTTTCATATTTTAAATAAATATTTAAAGTTTTTCCAAAAATACTAAATCATTTGAAAAGCTTTTTCAAAAATATTGAATAAATGTCTTAGCTGGATAAAATATTGATTTAATACCAATTTTGCGGGTTTAACATTTATTAGTTGTATCACTACTGAAAATCAATTCCTGCATTCTGATTGCTAAATATCATTCTAATAAAGCAACATTCTAACATTTTCACAAATATTTAGAAAAAGATGTCATGAAGGCTTTCACATGTGAATGCTTTTTGTTAAAATTAAAGCACTAAAATGATTAAATGAGAAAACAAACTAAAATTCAAGTAATTTTACAAAAAACATACAATTTTTAAACAGACACTGATTGTAAATATCAGTACTTAAAACAAGAAACTGTTAGTTCTCCAAGAAAATATTTTCATGAATGTCTGGGACTTGATAAAAATAGTTGGAGATTTTAATCAGATTTAAAGCCAATTAGAAATGTAGTTATCATTTACTACTTATTTATAACATACTTTTAGGTTACAGATGTGAAAAATCTCAGCTTATGTTCGCAATGTTTGTATGAATAATATTGACATTTCAATCCTACTGTCATCATGTTAGAAGAGAACAGTGCTAATTTTGTCTGAACTTCTAGAGAAATTTTTCATGTAACATTCTCAGGATTCAAAGATTATTTATTCAAGGCTTCTTCCTCCCAGCTGCAAAACTAATATAATGAAGAACAAAAACATTTGACAAAAAATATATACCTGAAAATGAAAATCAGCAATAATTTTCATGCAGCTGAGATTTTTTGTCTATTTAGTATGGACTTATTTGATAATCATGTTAATGATATTCACAACTGAACAGCAATCAATAAAATGTGTTCTGTATGCAAAATATTTGGAAATATAGAAACAGACTCCAATGCTAATAAAAGCCAAATGACCTGCCTAGTCTGGCCATTCCTTCTCTATTTTTTCTTAGAACATCACTTGACTGTATAATGTCTACCACATGTGTTTTCACTATTCTTGCTATGATGGTATCATTCACTGTGTGGAAAAAAACCCTGTTAAAATGACATTAAGTGCATACACATCTTCAGTCAATTTCTTGGATGTTAGAATCCTAAGTTAGAAAACAAAACAGTACAGGAAATCAGCAGACCATAACATACTCTTTCACACTTGTAGCTTCCACCTTTGCCACCTGAAGGACCCTCTGCCTTATTCCCAATTTCAAGAGTATAAAGGAACAATTCAGAAAAATCTGAAGCTGATGAGTTGATCAAAACCATGTGGGGGATGTTTAGTTGAAGAAAATATCACAGAAGAAATTGGATAAAGACATGGAAAAATATAGGAACACTAAACCAGAAGGAAAAAGTCAATAGAATGATTTTCCCTGCCAGTTACCATACTGCAAGCCAGAACGTTCTAAGGATAGTCAAAATGAATTGGCAAATCTTTTATATAAAAAATTAATGAATCTGCCCATATATTTTTTTCATAAAAAAGATAAGAA